CTATCGATGTCGGCCACCAGTGTGGCCGGGAAAAGGGCAATAGTTGGCTTATTTGCCAACCCCGGCCTAGGTACTATAGGCCATGCCACAGCTTCTTTCTGCCCCTCTGAAACAGTGCAGAAAAGTACATTCTCCTTCCAGGTTATGGCAATTCGAACGCCCTGGATGTTGAAAAGGGTTTCTTATTGGTAGCGAGCTATAACCCACTTCAAGACCAAACACTGAAAAATTGTGTGTGAGTGTCTGTGTATGTTTTAATTTTGTTTAGAATTTCATAGCTTCCTTCTGGGAAAACGATTTGGCTACTAGACATCATCATCTGAGTAACATGGTGGTCTCCTCTTTCCCAATAATGATGATAATGGCTTATATTTTCAGAGCACTTAATTTGTAAAATGCTCTTACATCCATTAAGACACTTTATATTCAAGTATTTGGCATGCAGCAAGCACAAAAGGAAGTGAAGGCAAACTGGTGTGGGTATTTCTTAAGTCTCATTTCAAGTTCATTGATGATTCCAGCACATATGTTTTGTTTCCAAAGTGCTGGCGTTTCACTTCCAGGGTAATGGTATCTGCGTCTTGCTGTGAGCCTCCCTCTGGTTCTTGACTCCTTAATTTATTTTCCTTTCATTTATGATTCTTCCCCATGTAATACATGTTTGTCTGTTGTTAAAATATTGCCCTCATATTGTGTGGCATGCCCAAGTATTTCCTCAATGAGTCACTTATGGATCACAGGGCCAATTCTGTTCTCAAGACAAAATACCAAAGCTAAGATTAGTTCCAGTTTTGTATTAATGATTGCAGATTCTTAAGGCTTAGAAACTCCCAATTGTTGCACAGATACTGAAATGGCCAAATGGTGGCCGATGTCAAAGGCAGGCTCTCATTCTTTTTTTTTGTACCAAAGGGCTGTTATCCTGTCCTTCTAGATAGTTTCTACTTCAGAAGCATAATCCATTCTCTCCCACTCATCCAGTCTCAAGAGATTTGGAACTATTTTGCAATAAAAGATGTGTAAGGTTGACCCTCTCTGCCCACACTGCTCTCTGCTCAAATGGGTTGAGTCAGTATTTCCTCTCTCCCTAATTCAGCAATGGGCCAGCTGGGTTTGTCTGATAGACTAAGACCCAATTAAATGAAATTCAGACTTCACCTAACCAGGAAAAAGACAGTTAAGCAATGATTTAAGTAATGAAATCAAAGAAGACTAGGGAAGCAGATTAGATCCTAAAACCTCTTTCCTCCATAGCAGTATTTTGGGAAGTTTCCATAGTAGAGTAGTTTGTCTTATGAAGCTTCAAATTATCAAATAGGGAACAATGTTTTCTAGATGGATTAAAATTCATTAGATGAGGAAATAAAAATATTATTTATTGTTTATATGATTTCAAAGGCCAACAAAAAACTATTAGAGGCCATAAAGCCCTATATGTTTCTCTCTCTCTTTTTTCCCTTGTTATTTAGGTTTGTTTTTTGTTTGCTTTTTGAATATAGTTTATATACAATGTTACATTAGTTTTTGGGTGTACAACATAGTGATTCAAGTTTTTACATTATGCTATGCTCACCTTGGGTATGGCTACCCATCTGTCACCATTCATCACTATTATAACACCATTGACTATATTCTCTATCCTGGGCTTTTTAGTCACATGACTTATTCATTTCCATAACTGGAAGTGTGTATCTCCCAGTCCCCTTCACCCATCTTGCTCATCCCTTCACCCCCCCTGCCCCTCTGGCAACCATCAGTTTGTTCTCTGTATTTATAGATCTGATTCTGCTTTTTGTGTGTTTATTGTTTGTTTTGTTTTTTAGATTCCTCATATAAGTGAACTCATATGGTTTTTGTCTTTCTCTGACATTTCTTTTTTTTATTTAAAAAAATTTTTTTAATGTTTATTTATTTTTGAGACAGAGACAGAGCATGAATGGGGGAGGGTCAGAGAGAGAGGGAGACACAGAACCTGAAGCAGGCTTCAGGCTCTGAGCTGTCAGCACAGAGCCCGATGCGGGGCCCGAACCCACGGACCCTGAGATCATGACCTGAGCCGAAGTCGGACGCTGAACCGACTGAGCCACCCAGGCGCCCCATCTCTGACTTATTTCACTTAGTGTAATACTGTCTAGATACATCCATGTTGTCACAAATGGCAAAATCCTATATCTCTTGTATGTTTTCACTGAATGAGCGTTTGGTATTATGTCCTTGATATACATTAAAAAGTGCTACAGGAAACAACCACATGAAATTTAATTTTGCATTTAATGTGGAGATATGATTTGCATGTATTTTCTACATAATTCAATGTCTTTCTTTGACACCCTTCCTGAAGCCATTTTTTTTTTGAAGAACTAAATATCATGAAAAGCTATGCTTCCCTTGAGTAACTAATGTTTTTCTCCTTAAGGATAATGACAAATAATAACTGTTTAAGTATCTCTTTTGTTGTTGTTGTTTTGCCAATTAGGAAGTTCAAGGAAGGATGTGTGGTTCAACTGCAGTATGAAACTTTGAATACATCAATCGGAGTTATAAATGACATAAACAGTGTAAACATGTAGCGTCTCATTAATAAGACTAGAGGGAGTGAGTGCTGGTAGTGGTGTGACTGCTCATTGGTGTCATCAAAGACATGGGATTTTTCTTTTGATTTTTCTGCCCTACCATTTTTGCCTCATGTCTTTTCAGTCTCATGCTTAGTGCCTCATGTCACATGATGGCGGTTACAGGACAAGGCCATATGTCCATGTTCAGTTCAAGAGAAAAGAGAAGGGATGAGCCAGCAAGTTCTCTTCTCCCTGGCCATCTCAAAAGGAAACAAAAGCTTTTCCAAAATGAATCTACTTAAATCTCGATGACATTTCTGGATCACATGACTACCCAACAAAATCAGTTATGTTAACCAATTATAGTTATAACAACGTATTTTTTCTGGTTCAATTTTTATTAGTATTTTAATAGGCAACCTTAAATCTAAGGAATTGAAAAAAGTTTAAGTTATGACTCTTGCTTTCTTTCTATAAGCTTAGCCTCTAGTTGAGAGGCAATTCAGGACAATAACAACAACAACACCAATAATAATAATAATAATAATAATAATAATACAAGTCAATAACACATGATGTACACAAGGCATTCATCATGAAATACCAAATGAGTGATCTAAATAGTAAATGTTAAGGGATCCAGATAGTAGGTAGATAGAAGTAGACTAAGTCTAGATGGTAAATGCTGAAGGATCCCACTATGATTTCGGATGAGCAGGGTGGGTTTTGAAGAGTAGAAAGGGCTTGAGGTAAATCTTACAAGGAATGAAAGAGATAATTGAAAGTCTTCTTTTGTCATTAAACCCTAGAACTACATATGTTCCACTGTATTTTTTATTATCTGCAAATCTGCTTCCCACAGACAGTAGAGATTTTTGGAGTATCCATGACCTATCAGCTACCTGAAAGTCAGGAATCTAATGATAAGGTAAAATAGCATTAAAAATGTTGGTAGCTTATGTAATGCACTAAGAATAAGTATATCTATAGGGCATAGGAACTGGATGACCTAGGGGGAAAGAGGAGCTCAGTCCAATGGCCATTTACTAGCTGCATAATCTTGGGCAAACTGCTTAACTTCTTAAGCTTTGGTTTTTCTCATCTGTAAAGTGAACACAGTAATTTCCTCCACAATGACTTGCAATGATTATAGAAGCTAATATGCTTGAAAGTGTTGTGTAAACTTTAATAATGAGGTACAAATTATTATTTGAAAGTGACACTAATTTCAGCAAAAGACTTCTTCATATAGATTTAATTATTATCACTATCAGAATGTCCATCTAACCAGGTTCAAAGATTTCCATTGACTTCACACTTGGTACTGGAAATCAAAACTGTCAAGTCCACTTATGGCAGGGCTAGTAAGCATACAAGGGCCTCTGAAACAGTGGACAAATATTAGGTTCTTCCATGAGTTGACTGAATCCCCTCGAAGGCTTAGAGAAAATTCTCAGATGTCAAGTCAGTGGGGTTCATTCCAGGTATGCACATAATCTCAAGTAGAGTTTGCACCCATATTAAAAGTAGGTTTAAAATGAAGCAAGATATTACCTTTCCATTTTGAGAAAGTCTGACATCACATCTGTAAAAATGGTATGAACCTCTGAAGAAAGGCTTTGGCATAAGGATAGCATGGTGATGTTCAAAAGTGGTTTAATCTCCCTTTGCTAGATTTGTCCATGGAAAAGTTAAAAATAATTTTGGAAAAAACAGAATAATGAGCACCCTGGAGCTCTCATGCCACTAGCCTCCTCAAATAACAAACAGAAATAAGAAAATAGCTCATTCATATATTATAAAGAAACCACCACACAGAGCACTAAGTACTAAACAGGATGCAGGGTTTTTTTTTTTCTAATCCTAATGCTGTAAATGTGCAATAAAGGGAAGAATAATACACAAATGAGTTTAAAATAGAACTGAGCAGGTCTTATCCATTCTATTTTAGGGAAATTCAATGAAGTATGTACTGGGTTTCTAAAACCGTTGTAATGAATGTTGCATGGGAATTCATGGACACTCATCCCAGACCCACCCCCACTAGACCAAGGGAAAATCTTGCAGACCATGAGAAGTTGCATCCAAGTGTATTGCCTCGCATGCTTGACTAGCTGTTTTAATGTTAGGGCTCAGCATCAAATTCCAGACATGGTACTCATTCTCAGTATTGTCTGTTGACCTGATATTTAGCTGGAATAAAATATTTTAAACAGAGAGTCCAGATGGGAGACTGACACCAACAGTGGAGTAGTGTAATCATTTCAATAAATCTTAAGTGCAGTTTAGGCACTGGTTTCCTGGACATCCTGAAATTTACAATTCTGTTTCTGGGAAATAAAATAAAATTTTATGTTTATTACATTGCTCTGTGACACTTTTCATGGGTTAGTAATTCTCTAGGGATTTCAGGGGAATACAGCTAACATGTTTTAACCTGTTCTTAGGTGCTTCCTAGGTGCCCAGATCTTACATATGTCATCTGATTTAATCCTTACGGCCAGTCCAAAAGGTAGGTGTTGTGATCTTTTTTCCATAGTAAAAGTAGAACTTGAGTAGGTTAACCAACTGACTCAAGACCACAAAGAGATGGACTTGGAATTCTGAGCAGCGCCCACCAATCACATAGCCCCTTCTCTTCAAGTACTTTGAAAATCATCCTTTTTCCACTATAGCATGTGGTGTCTGGATATATCATTAAAGATGCAAATGTATGTATTGCTGCTTTCCTATAACTGCAATGCCCAGGAAAGAAGGTTGGGAGGAATTCTGGCTAATTGGCTATTTTAATTAGCTGAGGGTTAGTGTTTTCTTTAAAAATCTTGTTGAAGCAGCTCTTGAAATGCACCCATCTTCTTCCTTAGCTTAGCAGAATATGGCAACTAAAAGCAATGTTTTATCTGATCATGCCATAGTCTTAACCAGATCTCTGTTAAAATGTCACTTAATCAGAGAGACTTCCTATGACCACACTTGATTAAAAAAAAATCTCTCCAAGTTTTCCCTCCATTTTCCCACCCTTTCACCGCTTTGCTTTTTCCTTCACAGCACATGTCACTAATTGATATGCTACATATTGACTTGTTTATTCTTTGTCTCCCTTCAGTGTAAGCTTCATGAGAGAAGGGGCTTTGTGACATCCAGAATTGTTACTCCAGGGCCTAGAACACTGTCTGAAATATAGTAAGTACTCAAACAATACTATGGGATGAATGAATGACTCCAGTTAAATGACTTCTAACCATTTAGTTCTGTTGCTGAAGTAGATTGGGCTGAATATGTGTGTGTGACCCCCTGTTGTCCATTATACGGCACTTAGGGTTGGAGTTATTTATAATAAAGCTGTTGCCACACTGTCTGATTCTTTCTTATACAAATAGACATAGAGCAGTAGTTTTAGTAAATTAAGGCTTCTGGCCAGTTAGAAATGGTCCATCAAGTTGTCTTACAATTTGAATGAAAGAATGGGTTTCTTGTGTGCTCTGCTTTATAATTGCCATCTAGCTCCTCTTGCTGAGTATTTTCCTCAAGATTCTTGCATGGAACACATGAAAAGTTATTCAAAAATGAAATATTTTCCACACCAGCTATGCACCAAAGTCTGATGAAGAGAAAATATAGTGGAGTTTCTGGGTATTCTATGTCAGAATGTGAAGGTCTATTGCCCCCAAAGGGCTAGTTACAACATCTTTAATAGTATGATAGGCTTTATGAATTTATATCTTCAAAGAGTGGACTTTAGGTTATTTGGTGGTAGCTTATTTTTTATGCTTGACCCAGAAATATAATTTAGCACCAATCAATGAATTGAAAATTCTTCACTTCAGTATCAGAAAGCAATTATTTTATATTAGAAAATAAAGACTTGCAGTGAAACACGTAATTGTAACCATTACAAATATTGTCCTATTCAGTGGTTCAGCCCATACTTGAATCCATAGTTGAATTCCACCTCTTCATTTCATCTACCTTTACCACACTCCCCCTCAAGTCAGAACTTCATTTGAATGGCTTACTGGCTTCATCAAATGTCTGTAATTCAACCTGCCCCATTTCCCCCTCAAAGATCCCTTCTGCTGATAATCCTCTCCATTTTCCTTTAGTTAATTTCATCATTCTGTTGGCTTACTGGTATTATCTTTTCTACCAAAGATGCAATCTCTTTATCTTTGTATTAATAGCTTCTCAATTCTTGCATGAGCTTCCATTTAAATATCATAGTTTATTACTTTTGAATAAAATAACTATTCACAATGACTGGGAAATTAGATACTCATATTTTGGGCTCTTATGTAACATTCCTTAATTGATCTCCTCTGCTCTCAGCATCACCTCTTCTTCTAGGTTCACTGCAATTATTGACTGAGAAATCTTATGTCAATAGGATAAAGAGGGGAAAATTGATACTACCCCAGAGTCCTTTATCCTCTGACAAGTTGTAGTCACAATTTAGAATGCTATCTTATCTTAGATTGGTTTGTAGGGTCAGGTACCCATACTAGCTGAAAGTTAGGACAAGAACACACTAATTCAGCCATTTGAAGTTTGAATCCATTGTTTTCATTTGTCACTTTTGAGAACTATTTAACCCAAGTTGAATTGATTTGGTTGCAAAAGTAGACTTACAGTGTAAGGGGAAGAGTGTTTCAACTTTCTAGGCAAGGGGAATAAAAGCTCACATGAGGGCTGTGCTGTGTGTGGGCTATGATTTTAAAACTTTGAAACATGACCAATGGATGGACATACCAACACAGGAAAGCCCAAATTTTCTGTTCTCAAATCCTACCCTTGCAATCTCCCTCCAGAGATAGTCCTGTCTCACCACTCAAGGAGCCTAGGCAGGGGTATAAATCCACTTCCTCTCATTTTCCCCTCATGGGAAAAAGCCCAGGTAAAAACACTTTCTTCCTCCTTAGCCCAATGAACATGTGACATTATAATTCTGTTCAGTTCTGAATTAATGTTCTTATGTTTAGAACTGTCTTGCTCTCTTATATGAATATGGGTGTAGATTGGACTTCAGCAGCTGATCTGTGTTCCATGTAGGCAATTTGGTTTCTCCTGGTAAGTGACCCATCCCTGTTGAATTCTGGATGGTCAAAAATCCATAGAAGGTGTTGAAGAGATAGTCCCAAAATGAAGGATTTCTAATGTGAGGAATTGGCTGGTGTGAGATCTCAGGGAAGGTTGTATTGGTGATTCCAAAATACCATTATTTCATAATTTGTAAGGGTATCTGCAGCACTATCAGCACAGCAACTATAGGCATCTGATCTCAATCAGTCCCTCCATGGAATTTTAAAATCAGAGTTGAGGAAAGGGGGCCAACCTCTCTCAGGTGGCAAAAGCTGTTAAGAAAAGAGATTTGAATGTTCAGTGGTCATGTTTCCCATCATAAAGGAAAAACTGGTTTGCTATGAGAAAAAGTGAACTTGACCCAGAAAGAGGCCAAAGGCAAGGATGAGGCAAGAAAGCCCAGGTAGCATTCCAGCCCCTGGTTCCCACTGTTCCTGAGATCCAAAGGCACTGCTCTCATTTCCACAGTGAGATAGAATTCACTGTGAATTCTATTCAACTATTTCTTTGATTAAATAAAATATCCACAGAAACCTTCCAATAAACTCCTTTTCCCTGGACTAAGCTAGTTCCAGTTGGAGTTTTGCATATTTGTATTCAAGAGTCCTAATTATACATGTATACTTGAGAGTTCAAAACCAGGCTTCAATCAGGCCATTCTAATGGTGTCTGGGACAAGGTGGTGGGGGTGGTGGTGTTGCAATTTATCCAATTATAACTTTTTCCCAATTTGCCAACCACAATTAAAAGAGCAATAGTCAAGAATCATAGTTTTTCTGGTTCTGTGTTGAGGGTTAGAGTACCATTTTCAACAGGAAACTTCGAGATTATCTTCTGTGTACTTTTATCACTTGTTCACCAACGAATTCTCATGGCTTCCCTTCTACTGAGTGAATACAAATGACCACTGGTTGGAGATGAATGGGCAGAGCCAAACCCAGTGTGTTCCTCTAAATATCTGTACCTTTTCTCCTTTTTTTTTTTTTTTTTTTTGGCCATGAGATTGCATTTTAAATATGGCTCTTACTTTTTAAAGTAATGCTTTCCTACTTTTTATAAAGTATTTTTAGAAGTAATACATGCTTCCTATTTTTTATTAATTTAAACCCCAGTGATGGTTGATGATGTTAAGCCATTGCAGTTCTCTGTCCCTACATTTCTGGAGCATTCCAAAGGCCAGAATATTTTCAGCTCTTGCCACCTCCATTTCTATTCCTTGTAATTTTCTGACTTTTCCCGCAAGGAGCATGATGCAGAATCAACACTCACAAGTCGATAGTTGTATGAGTAAACAACCCTGCAAGAGTGAAGAGATGTTGTGAATTGATTAATCCTTCTGTTCCACTAGGTGGTGCTGGTTGACATGTCGTCTGCCTTCAAATGTAAAGGCCTCAATCTGTCACCATTTAGTTGTCAGTAGGAATTGATGAGATTCAGAGAGTTTATCCGTCCAAGCCAGGAATTTCTGAGTTGCTGCTGGGCTTGTCCTCTGACTAGATGTGTGGGCTTCTTAATTTCTTTATTCTAAAATAGGCTAATGGTCCTCTATGTGAGAGGATGTAGTAGGATGTCTGGTTCTCTCTCGACACCTCAGAGGCCCACTTTCCTCTGGGGTTTGGGGTTTGGGGGCACTGCTTCATAAGACCTATATGGCAAAGGGGTTGTTTGAGAGTGAAAAGACATAAGCTTGGCTCACCAGTACTAGATATCTCACTATCATCTTGCCTGCTGATCATTAGCATTTGGCCCCAAAACTATTGGTTTTGGGTCTCTCCTTTTCTGCCCCTGAGATAGAATTTTAGATAAGACTTTTACTTTCAAAATGTAAGAAATACAATCATAGGATCTTTATGATAGACTTACAAAAGGACCTTTTAAGTGATTCATGTTTTGGCAGGATAATGCCTAATGTAGTAATATTCACTTTATCAGGCATCATCAGAGAAAGAGATATTGCATACAAGCAAATTTTCCAGATAATCAAACCTTATTATTTTCCATGCCAAATCTTTAGAAAATATTGCAGTGTTGGAGTAGATTAAAAATAGTCCTAAAATATATTGTACATGCTGTGCTTTTTAAAGCATAATATGCTAAATTTAATTTATTTAATAACTCACATTGCATGTATGTATGTATGTATGTTCTAAGAGTTGTTTTGGCATTCTAGTATTTTTGCCCCGAAAAATTGCTAAATGTTTCTACCATTCTTCCTTTCTTCCCGAGTACACTCCGCTCTTTTCTATTTTTCAAGTTTGTAATCAGTGGCATATCTTATGCTGGATACCAGATTGGCAGTATGCTCAGTATGGGCTAACAAAGGCACTAAACTCCTCAGCCGAAGTTCTGCATAATAATATATTTGGACAGAAAACTGCACTTTCCTGCCTTCCATGGGGTTCTCTGGACTCCTGAACACCTCAAACCCCAGGGACAGTTTCCCAGTCAATGGTCTAACAGGAGACCTCACTTTGGTTATAGTCACTCTCTGAACGCTTCCTTCCCATCCATGTTCCATAATGGAAATGGCTTTATTAAAGATACCAAGGAAATAACATTAACATAATAAGATAGGGAGAGGGAGGAAGAAATCTATAAAAGTCAGAGCCACAATGGTATGTTCTTACCAAAACATGAAAGACCAGAAAAGAGAAATAGCAGATAAGACTCCTTTATTCATAAAAACAGAAACCCCCAACTGGGATGCCTGGATGGCTCAGTTGGTTAAGCGTCCAACCTCAACTCAGGTCATGATCTCACCATTCGTGGGTTCAAACCCTGTGTTGGGCTCTGTGCTGACAGCTCAGAGCCTGGAGCCTGCTTCGGATTCTGTGTCTCCCCCTCTGTCTTCATATTCTCTGTCTCCCTCTGCCCCTCCCCCGCTTGTATTTTGTCTCTCTCTTTCTCTCTCTCTCAAAAATAAACATTAAAAAAATTAAAAAATAAAAGAACAGAAACTCATCTTAAACTGGCTTATGCTCCAACATTCACCAAAGAAAAGAGGGTCTGGAAAACCTCAGAAGAGATGGATACCAGGGTTCAAATAGCCTCCAGGACCCAGTTACTCTCCATCTCTGTCCTACTCTGCTCTGTCTTTGCTCCATGCA